CACACTTGATAAAACAGTAACATGTAAAATCAATACCTTCTTTTAGCTGGAAACCTCCACTAAAGTACATCTACTGATTGCTGTAAATTGATTCCAAGCAAAGCTTGGTAAGAAAATAACTTGCTTCTTCCAGAGCTGCAGATCTATCTGAGCATGCGCGACCACACCCAAATTTTGGAGCACATGCTTCTTTAATTAACAAAATGGCGGCATGCAGCTAAGATGGCTCGATCCAGCTGTCACAGTATCACTTTTTCCTTACTTGAAGAATGATCTGATGGGACATGGACCTGCGCATAGAGTGTTGGAGTAGATTGGTGTAAGAATTATTCTTATAGCACCAACTGATACTGAGATACACACCGACAACTGGATTGACAGGACTTATGACTTGATGATGAAGATGAAAAAGGTGGCTGAACAAAACGGCCAATTTTTGACTTTTTGCTTTGACAAGGTCTAGAGCCACGCTAGTTGTACCATTGGAGTCCTCTGGTCAAGATAAGGTCCTCTATAAAGTCTGGTAAGCATAGGAGCTCGTTTTCCCGGTATAGCAAGGCTGCAAAATTTGTGGCAGCCATTTTGTTTGGGGGTGAATCCTACTAAGTAACGCTACCGCGTTACTAATTTCTTTCTTGCAAAGTTTGTGAAGCCAAAAACTTTTTAGTCACATAAAATAAGTTGGGAGTTGTAGTATAATGAATTTTTCTTTCTTTAAGTTCTTTAAGTCATTAAAGTACGATTTCCAATGTCATTGATTGTTGACAAGTAATAGGATAGAAATCTATTGTTTGGCTTCCCTTTTGTAATATGTAGGTGACTATACTTATAGCCAAACTATAATTGTAACTATACTAAGTATATTTACCTTTTCACCCTTAGAAGAAAGACTTTAATTGACATAACCTTTTTCTTTATGTGTGAAAGTAGAATGCCGAATTTGTGTCAATGGGTACAAAGATATAGTTATTGCAAGAAAGAGTGTCCGGGCACAGTATATTTCTTTTTTCGTTATTGATTGAAGGCTCTCATTCATAGTGACATTTAATCCTGCATTATTAATAAAGCAGTATAGGCTTCATCCAGATGGTAAAGATCACTAAGGGCTTGGAGTCTTTTTATGTTCCATAAGATTAGCTTCAACAGTAGTGACAAGTAAGCTACAATCGAGGCTGTGTAAAGTGTTACATTAATTGATTTGGGAGTGGTTACCACTATTGAGCCAGAGCCATACCTTGAAGTGAGATGGAGGATACCTCTGCGTAAGAGCTCTATATTCTGGTCAAAACTATACTCAGTCTACACGAAGGCACTACACTTCTCTGAACACTGGAAGTGTAGGAAATCATATGGTTTCCCTCATGCTGTAATGGATACCATACTATTTTACTTATTTCTCTTACATACATACTTGAACAGTGCTGTAACTAGCACCATTAAGAGTAGAGAAGTTGCTTGTTACAAAGAAACAAGTTTGGTTTTCATGTGCGAAGTTTAAGCAAAGATATGCCACCGTGAAAATTATTTGTTTAATAAGAATTGTGTGACTTCGATTTTTGTGTAAATCATTCACAGACTACCTGGAACCTCTAAAGTCTTTCCATAGACCTAGGAAGGTGTAGTCTACATGTCCTGCTAGTTTCAATCTCAATGGAGCAGATATAGCTGTAGAAAAAGTGCCGTAAACTTGGCCACAATTAGGCGACCCAAAATCCTTGATATACAAGAGCTGTTCTCCTTATTTTACCATATACAGATAGAACCAATCTCCTCCTTGCTATTATCCAGAATGAGCTTCATCTGTGCTTCTGTTTAGGAGATACACATCTACTAGCACAGCCACCATCTTCACTTTTTAGCCACAAAGCAACTTTGATTTTTGTGCAAATCATTCACAGGGGTGCTGGGCTTTTGCCAAAGGGTCTGGTACTGTACTTTGCTCAATACATTGTGAGACTCCTCAGTTGCTGGGTCTTCTTTTATTCAGGTAAAATTCCCCTCAAACTTGCTATGTTTTTCAGAAATTGCCTCATTATCAGCTTATCAGAGCTTATCAGCTACACGTGGTTCAAATTTTGAATGATTTTAATTATATTCATAAGCCATTGGCAATGAATATCTTTTCATCAGTGACGTATCAGGAAGTGAAGCCATAGGAGGACCCTTTCACAATTGTGTAGCGCCTTTGTGTAGACTGACTATAGGCGCAGAACTTACACATTGGTTTTCCAGCCAACTAAAAATTATCTCTAAGGCAAGGAACAACTCATAAGGTAGCTAATGCCTTACTATTGTACTGCCATGTTTTTGTACTATAACATGGCAAGTAATGATGTCTGGAGCTGTGTAGAATGAGGTATGCAGCTAGTACCAATAGCTCAAAATAATCAGGGTAAGAGAGTGTGTGTTTGGGAACATTGTTATGTTTAAAGTTTAAGCTTATTGAGTAAACTATTAGTGATTGGCACCACCCATTTTGTGGCACTTGTTTTATCTATGTAAACTATACTTTGCCATCTCATGAAACTGCAAAGTATGATGGCAATAGTTGCCCTTTCTTTTGCATGATATAGTCTACCCAGGCCCATATCTCTTACCTTCATAAATGCTCTCTGTTTTATTTCTGTCTTTTTGTGTGTTTTTCTTGTTCATGTCTTATTCTTATTTGAAAGCTAGTAAAGATAAACTAAATGACTGTAATGTTAATTTGTACAACCTCAACTCAATGTCTGAGGTTTTCCTAAAAGTGTGTGCAATCTATTATTATTTTTTATAACAAAAAAGAGAAATTGTTATTTGCAAGTATTATAATTTATTTGCTATACACATGTACATGTATGTAATATTTGTTGTGATTAATTGTGTAGTCAACATTGTTTGTAGTGTATACTTGTGAAACAATGCACGTTTTATACAGTCACTTGTTCTGTTGATTAACTGCTGACAGACATACATGTACATGCTATTCTGTGGTTAGAGGTACCCCATTTAATAATTTGTACTTTTAACAAAGAATGCTGTACCTAAATTTGTAAGTACATGTATGTGTACCATAGGGTACAGGGCTGTAAATTTCACAAATTGGCCTAAAGATCTATTTTGCAGATTTAATTATCGTGAATTTAAACCGTCTCTTATCATCTTGTAACGTAATAATTTGATTTTTGCCGAATTAGTTTTTGTGAATCTTCAAACAGTCTCGAAATCTGCCACATTTACATCCCTGAAAAAAAGGTGCCCTGCGCCAGTGGTATATTAACTTTCTTTTGTTGCATATTTCATACTATGTTTGGTTTACATTATATTTTCTACTTGTAGCATGAAAATTTTTCTGTAAATGCTTTATAATTTTTAGTCTAATTTTAGATTTTTTTACTGTTATTGCATAAATTTTGTTTTTTTAAAGTATGGAATTAATTTTTGTGCAGGTCCACTACATTTGTGAACATCAATTAAATATTAAAAAAAAAATTAAATCATGAATGTTAATTTCAAAGATTATGAATTTGAGGCCATGATAAACCATGCAGCTATACTGTACATGTATATACTAATGATTGTTTTACACCTGTAGGTGAGAGACTGTATATATCTTAATATATCACCAATTGATGGCACCTCATTGAAATGCCTCCTCCACTCAAGGGGTATCAATAATCGTTATATTGGGAAGATTGCAATGGTAGCCAAGTCAAGGGAAGATCTGGACCACTTACATGTGAGTCAACTAATTCCTGACATGCAATGGTACTTGTCCTAGCAGTTTTGTGGGTTTAGCAGTTTTGCCAAAATATAATTTTGGCAATTTTTTGGCGATTCATTAGTTCCTTGTACATGTAGTAGTAGCTAATTTGGTACAGTACGTCCTAGATTATCCGAACACCTTTGTGCACCTCTATTGGGAGAGATGTTCAGATAGCTGAATAGAGGATATACATGCTAAGTGTATTCATTGCAAAATAAATGTATTCATTGCATGCCGTAATAACTTTCAAGAAAGAAATTAGTTTGTTGGACGTCAACTTTGCATTGGCAGCAATGGAGAAAAGATAGGAAAAGGCTTGGTACCAGGAAACCGCTCTTTATTTCTTGATAGCAATCTTTCAGGTGACTACTAGACCCATTAAAGCCTCAGTATGCTTTCTAAGCTTCCGAAAAAGGCCTCAAGAAGGTAGCAAGGCAAGAAAATGAGTTTTCCCCCATTGAACTCTTAATAAACTTGATGTCCAACATGGCGGCCAATTTACTGTGTGGGTTGGATATACGGTACTTACAAGTTATGGATATACCTAGCACGCATATCCTCTATAGTCTGGATAAGTGAAATACAGCACAGAATACAGTAGCCCGACCTATCCTATACTTTTCTGAAACTGAAATGAGTATGACTTTCCATTCTTTAACTCCCAGAGCATCTCAGGCTTCTTTTTAATGGTACCGTATACTGGGATATTTTCACGCCGCTAAATTTTCACGAATTTTGCATTTGTAAGATTTCATGAAATAATATTTTTGCAAACAGCCTATAAACTCCACCACGTGGCACACGAAATTTACAATTTCGTGATTTTAATTTTTGCGATGAAGCAAAAAACGTGAAATTCGCAAAAATTTGGCTACTTGAAAATTTCCCAGTATACGGTACTTCTCTTGTTAAGCTCCGTAAGCTCCTTGCTGCAGCAGCCATTTTAACCGGTTATTAATAAATTAACTTGTCTGAGCATGGGCATTAGAGGCAGCCATGCGTTTGGATAAACAAGGGTTTGGATAAAAGAGGTACGGATAATCGAGGACGTACTGTATCAGCAATTTCTCCACACAGATTTGCCATCATTTTACATTAATGACACTAGAGTTGTATGTTTGCTTATGCATGTACATGTATATTATCTCGTAGAGGATCTGTGTTACTGAGATGATACTAAGAAGAGATTCAGGAAGCTTTTATTAACGACTCCATTGAACCGTGTGTCAGCCTATGTGACTTATTTCCTCAACTGTTTACTAGTAAGATATGCAGTGATAATAGTACACTAACAATACATTTGTACATAATGTACATGTAACTTTAATTTTGTCATTATTTGACTTTGCTCTTTTTTATTTTTTAGACTGATACTGAAGAGATTGTTTCTGATGAAGTAAGTACTGTACAGTACTTTTGTCTCCTACTCTCCAGTTCTATCATTGGTCCTCTCTCTCTCTCTCTCCCTCTCAGGTTGCTGCTACAAAAAAGAAGTCCAAGAAGAAGAAGGGAGGAGGAAGTGGTGGTGGTGGTGCTAGTGGTCCAGTCACTAAAACTACATCTGCTGGAAAAGGTATTGTGCTATATCTTTTAAAGCATGTGTGACATACAGAGCATAATGTGCATTCACTCTACATGTACATGAACATGTAATGACTGTATTGTTACTATTAATGTATGGAGCCATTGCAGTGCATTTATCATGATCAAAGGCCATATGCAGTATATGTTTACTTTACCTTTTACTTTGTACAATAGCTGCAATTGATAATACGCAAATTGTACATGTACAGTACGTTGATGATATATTTTGTTTAGACTTGTCTTAAGGAAAGTTATGGAAACTGTTAGTGGAAGATGTACTTCAGCATTTCCTGTACACATTGGAATAGTAAGCTAATAATAACGGAATAAACAATATTTAATGATGTACATGTACTTAAATGTCTATCTCTTTCTCTAGTAATTCTGTAACTCACATGTGTACTACTTGTGGTGTTAGCAAAGTCTCTCTTCTCAGGGAATTCTGTAACAAAACAGGTTAGATGGCATCATACCTCATTAATATTCATTGACTGCACCCCTTATCAGGAGTACAGATTACATTGAAGGATTACAAATTTTCCTTGACTGCTCCATTCAATGAAGGTGATCTTGCCTGTATTGTACCTGTTGTTAAGCACACTGATTTTAAAGTGAGACAAAACTTCATTTATTACTGCTTTGTACTGTCACTTTTGCTACACAATATATACCGTAGTTTAGGGAATTTATGTGGTAGAAACTTTTGTGTTTTTAAATGATGCTGTTATTTAATTTTACCAAATACGACTGTGTCATGTATTATTGAATGTGGCATATAATTATGTAGGTGATCTAATTTTTTTTGGAATTTAATCCAGTGAAATTAAAATCACAGTGAAAAATTTTGAGATTGACGGTATATTGTCTTTTACATGTATGTGTACTTCAATCTTCAACAATTTTATTGTATTTCTAATTTTCTTTTTATCTTAACTTGTCTTTCCCTCAATCCCCCCAGCCTCTTGAAGCCTCTGGTTTGTATGAGTTGGCTCAGGTTCAGTTGCAGTCTGGTAATATTGAAGTTGCTCTTGACTATCTATCTGAAGCTGTGCAATTGTTTGCTCAAGTCTTTGGGCCACTACATGTCAACATAGCAAACTTTTATAAGTGAGTGGTGTCATTTAAGTACTTATATATTCCATTGTATTATTATATATAGAGTTATTGCACAAATTCATCATGCTCTAGGAGACAGTAAACTAGTTAGTGGTGCATGTAACTACATGTATGTGCATGCCATGTACATGTTAATGTATTGACTGGTTGTGTATGTAGTTTAGTTTAAATGACTGATACCGAGTTAAGATGTTATGCATGTTCTAAAGTCTATTCACTTTCACCTGATCCCTGGTTGTTATCAATTAATAATAGAAGCTGAATTTGATTTGGCTGTTCTAGCTGTGTAATTTTGGTCAAGGTATGTCATTGAGTTTATAGAGGGACATCCAAAAAAGGCTAAGGCCATGTCATTTTGATCCGTTCCTTATTTCTAATCAAGGGATGGACCTAGCAATTCTAATGGCACAAACAAAATTTCTAAATTCCTGGACTATCAAAAGTTATTACAAACAAGCGTAACAGTGTAAAGTATTACTATAATTGATTTCACCACCTTGCATGTACAGCTGGGTTCTTATTAAAACTTAAAGAGGTTCTCTACCTTCTAATCCTTCAAGAAAGGTCTTGAGACTGTACATATGTTCTTTTGCTTCAGAACTTATAACTTTGTCCTATGTGTATGCCACCATTTTGTTTGCTCTGACTACTTAAAGGAGCGTGGGAGGGTGTTTGCTAAGGCTTATGAATTTTCTTATTTCTCCAATACAACATGTATAGAAGAAATGTAAGTGTGGACATACAAATATACAAGCATCGCATGTGGGTGAAATCAAATATACATGTAGGAATGACCAGGGGACTACACCCCCAGGTCGTTAAAAATCACTAAGTCAAATGAAACTCAACAGACTTTAGTTTAAAACGCTTTAAAACTTTATTAATATTTTAATTTCTTTACAAGGTAGCAATTAATTATTTACTCAATTGAAATTTAATTTTAAATTGACTTGCTACATTTTATCTCTCTCTTTTTTCATCTTCAGGCAATATCATATCAGCACAAAACTGTCATTATGTATGAGAGACTGCTTGGAGTGGACCACTGCAGCTCTATATCAGCCTATGTTAGTTATTAATAACTGGCCACACACACAATATTTATTATAAATTTATCGCACTATTAGTTCCCCACAAAGCATGCTAAGTGAGCTAAAAGGCATGCTTTATGAGCTGACAAGCCTTTGAAATTCATAAAAAATCCAAATTTGATCAGAATGAGCTCAAACTTTGATACATCATTAGGACATGTATATGTATCAGAAACATGTCTCTTTGAGCAATTTTTGGCAAAATTTGGTCAAAAACCAAATTCTTTGGTATTGGCCCCTTTTTTAGCAAAATTTAAAAATTAATGAAAATCTGATTTTGATCAGAATGAGCTTCAACTTTCTGTACAACATATGGACATGTGATCAGAAAATTATAAACACAGAGAATTTTCTCCTAAGTTGTTTTTGGCAAATTCTGGCCAAATACCATGTACCATGTCTTTGATCCAATTTTAAAGCAAGTTTTAAAATTTATAAAAATCCAAATTTTGATTAGAGTCTGCTTAAAATTTTTACACAGTATTAGAACTTCTATATGTATCACAAAGTTTAATAAAAATTTTACCTTTGCAATGTTTGATTAAATTTTGGGAAAGTACATTGTGATATATTTTATCAACATTTGGAACAACTTTAAAAATTCACTGAGAGCATTATGTCAAAATCCTGTGGGAAACCATGATCATGATAATTTCAACGACTAAGCCCACCACTGATTTTTTTCTTTATATAGTTCCATTTGGCTTAGTATTGCTGTGGGGCTTAGAGGAATGTTGTGGCGTTGAGATTACTGTATAGAGTTAGGTATCTAATAATGTTAACACATGGTGAGGATCATCCTGAAATGTCTAATGTTGATGTAAGTATTGTTTTATCAAGTTCTCTTGTTTCATCATACACATGTACATGTATTGTTTAAAAGTATTGTAAATTTTGTGTCATAACTGTTATTATTTATTTTAATTTCTTTGAGTAGTTTTACATTGGTTTACTACTGAGTAATGCTGGTCATTATGAAGAAAGTCAGGCATATCTGGAAAGTGCTCTTAGATTACAAAACAAGTGAGCTAGTATATACAATTCAAGAGAATTAAGGCTGGCTATGTTTGTTCTTGTATCTGTTCATTAGGTTTCATGGAAGTCAATCAATTACTGTAGCCACAATGTTAGTAATGATAAGATACATGTACATGTACATCTTATCTTATCCTTTTCTCCTTGTTTTGCCTTCTCCTTCCCTTCCCCCTCTCTCTTTCCCTCTCTCTCTCCATCCCACTTTCTCTACCTCCCTCCCTCTCTTCTCTAGTCATCATCTTCTTGCCAACTCATTGACTCACATTGCAGCATTTGCTGAAGCTAAGCAAAATAAGAGAAAAGCATACAATATCTATAGGACTAAAGTATGCAGTAATGTTAATACCAGGCCATCTAGGTTACTTAACTGTTTTCTCTCACATTTAGTTTGGCCCAGATCATGCATGTACTGTTCAGTCTTATAAAAAACGTGAGGTATATCACTGAAAAGCAAGTCTCTTATGACCAGACTGTAAGTGCAGTTGGCTAACTATTGCCAATGGTTAATTAAAGTTTTTTACCAAAATTATCTTGTTCATTATGTTGTCTTCATAAATTATAAATAATAATTGTTTTGAGAAAGAAAAATTTAATAGCAATGCCAAGTGTAACTACTGGTAAACATCCAAATTCACACATGATGCGAATATCAGTAGCCTGAGCTAATTATTATAAACACTTGATCTTTGTATATAGTTATACATACTACTGTATCAGATATTACAGGTACCAATATTGCACACTCAGAAATTTATGTTAATGCCGTCACCATAGTATGAAATTAATGTGGTAGAAATTTAGGTTTCAAAATTTTGTGATCTAATTTATAAAATTATTGAATATGGCATGTAATTTCATGTGTGATATAAATTAAAGGACAAAGCTGACTATGGCATGGTACAGCTTTCAGCTGTGCAATGCTTTTGCAGATACAAGTCAGCTTGATTTTATTGTATAATTGTTTTCCCTCCACTCATGCCCTTAAGTGTACATGTCCTACATCTTTTACCTTGCATGTGTATGCTATGCACCCTAATGCTCAAAATAAATAAATGAATTGATCCAACAAGTCATACAAGGCTTGCCTAAGCTGTGACTTAATAATCACATGCATTCCATGGTGTCTACATGTACACATTTAATATGCGTTTAAGTGAAACTTTGTTGAATCCATCATTTTCTAATAATTATAATTTTGATGAAATTTATCTCATTTAGCCGGAAATAAATTTTGCTGTTCATTCACACTATGACACTCAGTTTATGTTAGTGGCATGCACTTGCACTGACACTATATACAATACTTCTCACTTTATTCAACACTATTATGACAATATGTACTGACAGAGGCTTGCATTTGCAACTTGCTTGAATAAATTGATCATTCTAGAGCCTTTTCTAATAGTAATCAATTTATTTGCTGTCGCTACTCATACTGGTAAATCCTATCAGTATTACCCTATCTTTAATATTCTTGTACATGTACATAGTTAACTTTGAAATAGCCTACATGTCAGTTGATTTTAACTAAATTTACATTTATTATTACCATACACATTATATGGTGACATATTTTGGTGGAAATGAGTTGTTCTGAGTCTACTCTGATTTGAACATGTACACTTATGCTCCTCCCTTATCTACTGTAGGTTGCCTAAATTTCCTTGCCAGTTTTTTGAATGTTACATCATCTAATCGTTTAGCAGTGCAGAGTCATCATTAACTGTGAGTTAGTAGTAACTAGTAATGATTAAAGTATGCATGTACATTTATAGATTCTGCTTGTACATGTACAAGATTGTTAGTTATTTTCAGTTTTAATAACAGTCCTGCTATTCTCACACCTAGCATTTAATACAGTTACTGTAACACACACATGCAGGTGATACCAGTCGTGGCACACAATATTCTTTAGAAAAATGTTGAAGCAGACAACACTTTGTGATGATTAATATTGAATTAGTACATTTAACATTAACATGGCCTACTCTAATAACTGCCTTTTATTTCTCGTTGTTGACTTGTACTTATGATTAATAATTTTTGCTTTTTTTTGTTTTTCTGTATTTTGTGAATGTGGTGGTATGTGTGTGATGTTTGAGAGTACCGTTGTATGTGTGTACTATAATACCATTGTGTGATTGTGTTGTATGTACCATTGTAATAAAGATGAGTGTTTGGTTACATGTACATGTACATATCTTCTCCTACAGTCCTAGACTTCATATAATCCTTATAGTTCATTAATCTGTTTTATTTCTCTCTTTCTTTTTTGTGTATTTTTGTTCTTTCTGAGTTATGTCCGTTTAATTTTTATCAGCTAAAATTTAACTCTCATTTGGTCTTATTTGATGCAAGTAATTATTATGAAATTGGAGCTTTATGTGTTATTCTTTTTCAAAAGCTAGTAATGATAAACCAAAGTAGAAGAATGTAAAACATTGAAGGGCTCAGCCCCTGAGCCACTCTATTGTTGTGCTTTATGACCCATCTTACTGCTAGCGAAGAATTTGGACTCAGTTTAGTCTAATCTTGCTGAGCATTTGCTGCAAATAAGCCCAGACTTGCTGATAGCCGCCATTTTAATTCATTGTGACCACACCCACTTTTAATGAAGATTAGGCTACTTAACTTTAGTATTAGTTGGACGACCCTATCCCCGTACAGACAACATCTTTCTCGTCTTAGTGGGCTTTGCTCAATTACGGTAAAAGTAATGTTAATTTTTAAAACCTCAAAGCAAAGTCTTAGGTCTTCCTAAAATCGTGTGCACTGTTACATCTATTATTAATATTTTTATCACAAAAAATTGTTTTCTTAATACTATGCAATTATTAATTCATGTTATATTTAATTTTTAATGTAAATTGCTGTGATAAATCAGATCCATATTGTGTAGTCATTCTCTGACTGAAAGTGTATACTTGTGAAACAATAAACGTTTTATGCAGTCACCACTTCTTTTGCATGAGTTAATTAATGTGTTCAGGCATACATGTACAAGTAGGGCCACTACTGTAGTTAGAGAGTACTCAACGTAAAAATTTGTACTCTTTAATATTTTGTGGCTTTGTTCTAATACATTCATGTAATTTTCATTTTTGAAAATTAGTTTACAATTTGCATAGTTTTAGTTCTTGAGCTTTCTGAGACCTTTTGTCAATGACTGCACCAAGATATAGTATATAAGTTTATTAGGTTAATTGTAAATTCACTACATTACATAATTAAAAAATGACATTTAGTAACTCTTGTAAGACAGTACAACATATTCTTTGATCAAATTAATATTAATAGTGCTTAAATTGGGTTTATCTTTGTTCTTTTAATTCACAGATTTGTCTCAACTATCTGGCAATACGAACTACAAATTTTGTTATTTTAATAGTAACATCCACATAGTCATAAATAATTGGCTACTGTCTTTACTGCTTTAGGTTTGCGTTTTGTTACTTTTTTAGCAGCAAAAATTACTTTTTGAGCATACTTTTTTAGCAGCAGTGAGTGGACAGGGCCGTCCGGGTCACCAATTTAGCGTATGAGTATATGTGTGTTGCAGCTAGTGATAGGGAAGCAGATATGCTGCTTGCCATAGAGCGCTCACATTTACCTCGAGTTGACTTGACACCCAAACACTGATCAATTATAAAACACAACATGCAATATATATTAAGAGATATCATGAATATGCATGAGATGTGATGTCATGAGTTCACTACACGTGTATCTATTGTTACTAGGAGAAGCAACTGATGGTGAGACTAGACCTGTAGGAAGAGGAATGGCTACACGTAATAGTGAGTTCTTTTATGCTAGCAGTAAGTGTATCTATTGTTACTAGGAGAAGCAACTGATGGTGATACTAGAGCTGTAAGAAGAGGAACAGCTACACGTAATAGTAAGTTCTTTTATTCTAGCAGTGAGTAAGTGTATGTCTCGAGCTGTGTAGAATGAGGTATGCAGCTAGTACCAATAGCTCAAAATAATATCAGGGCAAAAGAGAGTGTGTGTTTGAGAAAATTGTTACGTTTAAAGTTTAAGCTTACTGATTAAAAGTTCTATTAATGATTGGCACCACCCATTTTGTGGCACTTGTTTTATCTAGGTAAACTATACTTTGCCATCTCATGAAACTGCAGCAATAGTTGCCCTTTATTTTGCATGATATAGTCTACCCAGGGCGCTTATCTCTCACCTTCATGAATGCTCTCTG